AGTGTATACATTACCAAGGAGACTACTTTGAAGGGGATTAGGGTTTTGTACCTCAAAGTCAATAAATTTATTTTTGCCGACCAAAGGTCCGATACTTTTTGAACAGACCTTGTATACTACTATAAATTGAAGGATTTTCCTTTGGCTGTCCATATCATGTGTTTTAGGCATCCATTGTCGTAGATACATGAATACTTTTGGATGTTTCCGATAAATCTTTTCAGATCTATTCTAGTCTTTTCCAGGTAGCCTTGAGAGAACATACACAAAACCTCATTTTCAGCCATTTTCACACCGGCCATGTTACAATGACCAAGATTCCACTGACTTCTGATTGGTGGATGGTACCATTTTACGGATGTATTTGCATTGAAAGTTGAACACTGCTCAACTCACTTTATTCTGGTTTTATGACTTGCTTCGGCATAAAACATTATGGTAACATGATTAAAAGTTTTTATGGCAAGGGTTTTTACGCTAGTGGTGTCTCGGCCATTGGAAGGATACAGACATAGATTGGAAAGGAACTGAATATTAAAATAATTGGAATAAAACGAATCTGGAATATGCCGAAAAATTTGATATTGGAGAAAGGCCTGAATTTTAATGTAATAAACAACAGAAAATGAAACTTTATTAAATCGATGGTACATGAGGGGTGCTGTTGAGCAGTCATCATTGCTGGTGACTTTTTGTGTTGAGATATTACTATTACCATTTGGTGGTAATTATTAACTGGCATTGCCAATTAATCAAATCGAAATTATACTACACAGGGTTACTTTAACCCAGTGTAGTATAATTCCGATTTGACTATTACCATTTTATTGTAAATTATAAATTTTTTTGATAAGAATTAATTTGTTACGTTTTGTTTTCCTTTTATGTCTTGTTTTTTGTGTTACTACAAGCTTTATTTTTTGGATATGTTTCCATGTACATTGGGTGATCAGTTAACGAACAGATCGAATAGCAAACAAATCGGATAACAAACACTTTCGCGAAAGATTTTTATGATCAGATAACAAACACTTTACTGAACACACATAAAAAGAAGCAATGGAAAATAACGAATACCAATTGATTTTCTCTTATCTTCGGGTAACAATTCGAAACCTTTCAAAGCACGGGAGACGTCAACATTGACGCTCAACCCAATACCGATCAGATAGTATTCCTCCAAATTTTGAAACTCTCCCTTGTAATTCCAGATTTTTGTTTATCTCTCTGACAAATAATTTTTTATAGTCTTCACAAGACTGTCGGACAGGCACTTGTTAAGTTTTGCGTCGGGGTTTATTTACGAAAGGAGAAAGTTTAACTGTCCCATCGGATATTCGTTAACGTTTTAATACCAAAGTTTGAATTTCATCCGGGCCTTGCATTTAAATAATATTTTGTGGGCTAGTTGATTTCTGTTCTCTGAATTTTTGTAAGTGCTTTTCTGAACTTTTAATTTTAAAAACAAACTGATAATATTATGGAGCCTAAAAATGAGGAGTGCCAACAACTGTGCTCACTATAGAAACCAAGTAAGAGATAATAGCAAAGATAGAAACTGAGCACAAGATGTCTGATGTTGCTAGGCAGTATGGCTTGAACAGGTCTACAGTAGGCACAATCTTAGCTATGAAAGATATATCAAGAAGTCTCAAGCTGCTAATGGAGTAATGAAAATCACATCTGAAAAATAAAGAGCATTTTAGAGCTCATAGTGGAACCTGAAACTGATCTGGCGACTGAAGAACTCCAAGAACTCTCAAATGAAGAATGCCAAGAAACTCAGCAAGATGTGTTTTCTTTTGAAAAAGAGGAAGACGAAAGAGGACCAATGTCAACATCTACTGCTAAAGATCTTTTGAAGAAGTGGGAGGATGTCAGAACAACGGTCACACAAGTGGCATCCAAACCAGAATAAGGTTAATGGGGTTAGGGATCTCTACAATTACGATGCTGTTAATTACTTCCGAAAAATCCTGAAAAGAGAAAAGCAATTAACATTGGACAGATACTTTAAACCCCACAAACAGAAAAGGCATGACTTATAAAAATGCAAGACTGCATATATATGTATTTTTATTATTACATATGAATAAACGTAGTAAAAAAGTATATATTTTTTATTTTTTAGAGTCTCCAGAACAAATTAATCAAATTCTCATAAAAACCTATAGTAAATTGATAATTGGTTAACGAACATTTCGAATAACGAACAAAGTCTTGGAACGGATTATGTTTGTTAACTGATCACCCACTGTACTCCCCCTGAGGGTTCAAAGCAGAGCCAAGACAACCAGAAAGGAATTAAGCACCATCTATCTCTGAGCGATCTGGGAGCTGAATATCCAAAGCTTGAATACTATTCAAGAAGCAATCTCCTTCAGACATCGATAAAGGGGGGTATGTTATCGTTACAACAGTATTTGGAGTCAACTTTAGGCACAGTTTTGCTGCAGTTAAAGTGTATCAAAGAAAAGCTCGCTAATTTGGAATTGGCTAACCAGTCAACTTTGTCTGTGGTAAGAAAACTGGAGAGTGACCTTTCTAAAGTGTGTTTGCATTTAGATAAGTTGGAACAATACAAACAATTTCCTTTGGACGATATTGGTAAGTTGCATTTTTTTTGCCTACGATAGACAGGTTAATGCTTTCAAAAGGTGTATCAATAATTTGATGTTTAACCATAGTTTTCTGCACAAATTGGATATACAAGAATATTTACTTACCTTACTGTGTAAGGAATTGGACACGACTGACTTTTCAATGCAAAATATTGTTGGTATTTCCCATTCTAGGGGTAAAACGTGGGAGTTCTACTGTATAAAGCTTGTCTTGGAAATGTCAAAATTATTTATTGCAAAAAGTTAGAATGAAGTCTCATCAGGTGGGTAGGAAAAGACTGGTGACTAAGTTGGCACTGGATTTATCATTCAATTCATGCATTTGTCATAAAAATTTGATTACTTATATAAAAGATTATCATAAGGCTGGTCACTGTGTTTATTTGTGTGGTGATGTTTTGCATCTAGATGACAAGAGATTTACTTATTCTGTTTCAGCACATTGGTTAATAGAAGTTTCAGCTTTTTTATTTTGAATTTTCCCTTTCATATGAGAACAGACTCTGTCAGCCGATTGCACAGACAAAGTTTACGTTAAATGACATTTATCAACAGAACAGCCTATAGACATTGGCTGGCTGAATCACAGTTTAAAATGTGTTGCAAAGACGACAATCATCTATTTCTGACCATTCTCTAAATGAACTTCAGCAAAACATTGGCTCTTACTTAGTTCGCTATTACTCTCCTGTTTTAAGAGTCGTTTGGCCAGTCGGGATATTTGTTTGTGACGTCAGAAATGGTCGCCAGCTATATTCCGAAACCTTCCAGAAATAAAATCTTAAGGCTGTCAAAACCATTGTTCGGCAATTAATGACAATCCTTTTCCATTTCGATATTTAATTTTGTCGCCAATATGGTTTAAAATATGAACAAATCCATATTTAGAAAATTTATACCGAATTCAAAATTCGTCTTCGGAATAGATTTTTAAGGAATTATTTTGACATCTTATTACTGTCTCCCTTCATAACTATCAAAATGAATAATTTTAAATATTTTAGAAGAGGATAAGGAGAGGATCCCCTCTCACTTTTAACCCCCATTTAAAATTGTTATATACCACAATTGCCAAGAGACGTCAGATCAGTATTACCTACAGGAGATGACCCTCCATTTTCAACTTACTGCACAATGGAAAAGACCCTCCTAACCCTGACAGACTACCGGGCATTTATAACATCCCTATCAGAGACAACAGATGTGATAGGGAAATGGTGTAGATTGGCTCCACTAAACATTCAATGGTGGTCAGAATATGGGAGCATAAATCTGACATACAACACCACCACCTACTCCACTTATGCAACAGACCCAAATATTATGGTGGGCTTCTCCAGAGCCAGAATTATTCTTACTACCCCGCACCCAGAACACATCAAATGGTTAGAGGCCATCGAAATTTTTAAGGCTTGCAGCAGAACCATGTGCATTAATTTTAGGGAGGAGATGTGTCTGTTGATGGCATGGCAGACAACGGCATTTAATTTTCAGTCATATTTAGAGGCAAATGCATGCACAGAAGTTCTCTGCATTCCAACTCAACCTAATATTCAATCTTTTTTAAACATCTTACGGAGAATGCATGTGCATACCATATTCGAAATCCATATCTTTCGATTTATGTTTGAATGTCAACAGCCAGCCTGTTTTGAATTAAAAAAAGACCTAAAGAAGTGCCCAGAAGGGGTAACAAAAATGTTCGTCACTTAAATGTTATTCACACCAGTTAATTGGTTGGTGAGTCATACGTTTTATATACATTCCGGTGTTGTGCAGTTAAATATGTCCAAAAAATATTCCATTTTGTATGTAGCATTTATCTTTTTATCTGCAAGCAAATTTGGAATGAGATAAAAAGAAATGTGCAGTGGAAAATGTATGCATTGCATTCTCTGTCAGTTGGAAACTTAGGAAGGTATTGATTTATTCAAAATTTAAGAAAACTCGACTTTTGGAACAAAATTTTAAGAGGATTAAATTTATCCTTCAAGTAAGAATACATTCCTTCTTTCTTATTTTTAAAATAGGAGTGTATAATTGTTCCAATATTCTAATATGAATATTAGTAAGAAATGTCTTATGGAAAAATGTGTGTAAATTTAAAAAAATGAATAATAAATTTCTATTAGAAGGAATTTATTATGCAATTATATAAATCAAATACTATAATATAATATAATACAAGGGTTAGAAGTACGAAATAATCTAATTATAAATGTATTATTTTTATCATCATTGACAGTATTGCATAAGATTTCTTAGTTGGATTGGCTTTAAAAGAAAAACTAAAATGTCTGAAATAATTATATAAACTGTCGTTTAAATGTTTTATATTACTATGTTTTAATAATATACTTAAAACTGAAAATTATTTAGGTAACAGTTCAAGAAGGAATAAATGCCTCTGACAATATAGAATGGGATGAAACTGCTGCTAGAGAAGAGGGTAATTTATTTTTATTAATTATAATATGTAAATTACTTATTCAAATATTCAGACTTGGTTACTCTTTCATAATCAGTTTGCTGTAAATTTTCTAATTACTGTACTTTTATTTTATTTTTGTTAACTACTTGGAAATATTAGATCACACACAACAAAACTTCCCAATAAACCTGTTACAGCAGAGTGTCAATTTTGGATAACTGACCACTTTGTAGGGAAGGAGAAAAAGATAAATACTTGAAATAAAGTAAAAATATCAATTTTACTTCTAGTACATACATACATACATACATACATACATACATACATACATACATACATACATACATACATGAAAGACATCAGCCATACACAAGGTGTTTAGCCAGCAGAAAAGAGGGTAATGGAAAGGGGGGAAGGGGAAGAGGAGATAGACAGTAGAGAAAAGTAAAATCCCTCTATGCATGGCTACTGTACCCTCTACATTTGATGTTGATGTGCAGTTTTTAGGCTGCAAGGCCATAGTCCCTCGAAGGGTCTAAAAGAAAACCTGAGTTTAGCAAACACCAATAATTGAGTGCTGCCACAAATAGCTAACTGTGAAAGTTAGTGCCAAGTGGCTGTTAGTAGGAAAACTTATATCTACTTAATACTAATAAAACTGAATGCAAGTGCAAATCTCAATACTAGTAACAGCTAAACAGACAGTGTGAAAAAAAATGAGCACAACAACAAACTAGACAAAACAAATGGACCGACAGAAAACAAACGAGCAAGACCCCAATTTTTTATTTATTTATTTATTTTAAACATTAACTTACTCACTAACTAACCTAACCTACCTTAACCTAAGATGAACCTAACCAGACGACTAAGGCTAACAAACCCTAATCTAATTTAACCTAACCGGAAATCATGCTAAGAGTCCCTAATCTAACTTACAACTAGGACTAACCGAATTTAGACTGAAAAGAAGAAGGAAAATAAGAATTAGAATACAAAGTTGAAAGGCAGCTATATACCAACGGTTGAAACAATGCAAGGGAAAGCTAATTGCTATCTGTGCCCCTGGAGTGAGTGCTCTCAAGAGCCCCACTAAGGGATATAAATGTGATAGATGATGGAACATTGTATGTGTGTGAACGAGTTGGTGCGGGTTGCAAGGCCAGTTGTACCCTTCAAGGATAGCATCTCTCATTAAACTATTCCTAATGTGATTGTACAAAACTTTATTATAAAGAGTAAACCTTTGCGTATGAAGATTGAACACAATTGAGCAATAAATGTATAAATGGATCCAACATTTGCAAGCTGTCTTGACCATCAGCAGGCAACTTTTCTTTTTTCAAACATGAATTTAATAACTATAAAACACATTAAAATTAATACATTTAAATTATATAATTATATTTAAAATTTATATATGTTATTGCTAAAGCCCACAAATTGTATAAAGCTAGTAACACACTATTAATTTTGAACTTTATCCAAATCATGTAACTTGAATAAAGTTAACATTAGTAAGTTAATCCTAGCTTTATTCTATTTACAAGCTTTAGCCATAACATCATTTAATGTCAACATTCAAAAGTTAAACTCCATAAACTAATTTTGTTAAAAATTACAAACTGGAGTGCATTTTTATCTAAAAGAATTCATATTTGATTAAATATTTTTGGACTTTCAAATTTTATATTTGGAATCTTATAATTTAAAAAACATTACAATATATACGACAATTTCTGTAATGGAAATATCAAAACTTTGATGAAATTGAATTCAAATTAAAAGAATACATAACAGTAATATTAATAATAAGATAGCTTGATAGCAGTCCTACAGATTGTCAACAATCGTTTTTAGGTAAAAACTTTATAATTTCTGGAATTTTGAAGTAGATTTGTTAATCTTTTTTAATTGATTTTCAGATAATGCTGTACTGTACTTACATATCTGCTTAGCAGAAGTTTACATTATTTATAAAAACCAGAAAACCTTTCTAACCTAGCATTTAATTCTGGATGAACAAATATTTTTGCTAGCTTAACTAGCCACCATCAGATTCAAACAACATGCAACTACAGGATTCCAGACTGTTGGTTCAAAGCCCATGCATTCAATGAAGTCTAACACAACATACATTTCAGTATATTTAAAATACTAGCATTAAAACTAAATAAATAACAATAAAATTATAACAGTATATACTAGTAGTTACATTAAAATTACAAAATACAAAGGTGTGATAATATAGGCATAAATGTTACCCTGGCGTACAGGAGATGCAGTACTTTGTTTAACATCTTACGTAACGGGAAGGACCAATCCAGTGTGGAGAGATTATCAGGCATCTATAAAGTCCCGATAAGGGATAACCGGTTTAACAGGGATTTGGTATACATAGCATCAACTAAACGTTCGTTGGGGGTTAGGTTAAAAGAGCATATCTCTGATATACAACGTAATAGATGCACCACCTCACTATCCACTTACGCCACTGATCTCGAAATTGAGGCAGACTTCACTAGAGCGCAATTAATTGTTACAACACCGCACATTGACCACCTGAAATAGTTAGAGATGGAAATTTTTAAGGCATATGACACATTCTCTTGCATTGATACAAGAGACGAGATTGGCCTTTCCATGGCATGGCAGAACTTACTTCGTACAGAGTGATAGCATTATAGTATTTATTACGTAGTAGAGAATAAAGAAAAAATAACGGGGGAACATGTGAGATCGTTATTAATTATTTATCTCACTATCACATATGTATTTTAACGTAACTTTCTTTTAAGTTTGGACATTGATCGTTACGTTCGAGCATTTTCAAACCAATCACCTGACGGAATACGCAAACGAACCGAACGATTCAAACTCTACAGCATTTGGATTTGTTCAAATTTTTCGTTTTTGTGTTTGATCCAGCTGATTTACCTGAAGAAGAACCCAGAAGGGGTTAAGAAAATGTTCGTTTTGGAAAATTGAACTCTATTTGCACCGGTTATAGGTTCAAGTAGGTCATATTTTGCTATATACAACCCGGTGTGTGGTTGCTGTCTTACGTATTGATATTACTGGTAATGTTATAATTTTATTGTCATTGTTGTTCATTTAGTTTTAATGCTAGTATTTTATGACTTATTTTAAATATATTACAATGTAGGCTTTGTTTGAATAATTTTCAAGTGATGTTCTGGAATAATGTGATTTAAACCTTGATAGTCAGTTAAGTTAGCTGAAAATATTTATTCATCCAAAATTAAATGCTGGATTATAAATTTTTTCGGTTTTTATATTAACGTCATCCAGTTTGATATTGCATTAATTTCACATTATTTATTTAATATTTTTAATTTTCCTAGCACTTTTGGGTTTATGTAAACTATTTTCTGGAGATCTCCTGTACAAAAGTCTTTTTCTGCTATATACAAAAGTCTAAATTAGAAATACATACATACATACATACATGAAAGACATCAGCCATACACAAGGNAAAAATGCTTAGGAAAATTGAAGATATGAGTAAATAAACAATGTAAACTCCAGTTATGCAATTAAGTGAGAAATACTTTATTAGTATTTTTAATTTTAAATTAAACTGTACTTTATATACTTTATATAAATATATATAAAACTTTAATTTTAAAATAGTAATAATTACAAATATGGATTTATTACAAAAGAAATATTCCAGAAAATTTTTTAAAATGTGAAAATCATCTTTTATATCTTTTTAATACTTATATATAAATATCAAAAAATAGAAGATAATTTCATAACAAAATCTATAAATTTAAAGCCAAATAACTAATAACAAAAATTACATGACATGCTGTGTATTTTAAATTTATCTTATACAAGTATATCAAGACACAAAAGACACATTTTACACTTTTCCAGCAACTGAAATTAATCAAAAACAAATGTTTTTGGCCTGATTGATAAGTTTTCATTGGATTTTTAAATAGAAATTCTATTTTTAGAATATAATATTTGTTGACATAAATTACTTTTTTTTAAATCATAATGGGTTTTTTGATTATCCAATAGAACAAAAAATTGCAACATAAAATGAAATAAAATACATTTAAATATAAAAAAATAAAATAGAATACAATTAAGAATAAAAATGAAAATGAACAAAATAACCCTACTGGCTACAATGTTGTTGGGACAACATTGAACCATCAGAAGCATTAGAACAAGCTCTAAGATACGGCCTGATGTTTATACTGACATCATTATTATTCTCTGACAAAACTGTACCAAATGTTGAAAACTTACTAATGGGAGTTATAATTAATGGTATACTTGCTTACTGGAGAATAAAATCAATAAATATAAACCATTCAACTATCCAGCAAAATTCTTTAATAATTTAATTATTAAAGAATTTTGCTGGATAGTTGAATGGTTTATATTTATTAATGGGAGTTAACCATAAGTACAAGGAATACTTCAGGTGGAACCTATTCTTCAATATAAAGACCAACAGAATACTTATGAGGGACCAAGAAGTTATAAGGGACATCAATGAAGTTGGTTCTGTAATAATCAGATAACATTAGTTAAAGTGGACAAAAGTAGAGCAGTCATCTTATTGAAGACAGCTTCATGTGTGTCAAGTCTCAAAACATACATTGAATCAACTGAATGCTAACATGTCAACAATGATTACTTGCAGTAGTTGTAGAGAAACCTCTCACCAAATTAACATGTACAGTACAAGGTTGGCCAAAGTGTTATATCTGAAGCACACTGTTATTCATGCCCAGTGCCCTGTGGCTCTTCGCTTTTACTTTTTGATAAGACACACAAGCAAGGCAGATAACTCAGGCCAATCATAGACAGAGTCGGATCACCAATCTTTACCATTAAGAAGTATATATTCAATACATAAAATATTGGCAGAGCATCTTAAGGGATATAAATACTCAATCAAAATTTCACAAAAGGTTTAGTCCAATTACATGAAATTAGTTTGATGGATGATGACCATCTCACTGTTCTAGATTTTGTTTCCATGTACTCATCTATTAGATTAGAGCCTTGCTTCTGTGCTCTAAGTGACTCTTTATTTTAGACTTTTTTCTGCAGCAGTCATACCAGCAACAAATTTTAGATTTGGCTCACACACTATGCTACATATCCTTCTTTACATTTAACATTTGCTTTGATTAGAGTTAGTTGCTGGAAAAGTGTAAAATGTGTCTTTTGTGTCTTGATATACTTGTACAAGATAAATTTAAAATACACAGCATGTCATGTAATTTTTGTCTATTTTTTTTATTGTGTGAGATTGGGGATAGAACAAATCAAAAGAGAGAAAAAAAAGTTAATTTCTACGATGGGCTAAAAAAACGAACAGGTGAACAGAATAAACTGGACACTTGTGGGAGTTGATCTACTGCTCTTGGATGAGGACAAGACAAAGACACCGAACCAAAGAAATGGAACAATAATTTAATTTACCGACAATCTTATCTCGAAGGACATACAACGCATCATGATTTTCTCTTGTAGTATAATTAGGAATCTGATGATAATCTTAATAGTCCTTATTGGTTAGAGATTTACACGATTGAGACAGAAAGTTTGATTTTGAATCCTCACCACCTTCTTTCCTTACATACAGATAATCGCCATATAACACGGGAGTTATGTTCCAAAAAATTGCCGTGTTATGCGAATCCGAGTTATACAAAACAAAGAACTAGTGCGAAAAGGGGGGTTAGGTTCCAAAAATTAAAAACATGTTGTTAAACATTACTGTATATATTAAACATTTATTATTCATTTTTTTCATAGGTAAAATACTTATTTATTATTTAAGTAAATATTTTACCAGAGGATTATTCATTCTATATGATGATCTCAGCATGAACATCATCAACTGGTAACAGTTTGTGGGTGCGTTCGTTAATAGCGGTCGCTCTGCAACGGGAATGCGCTGCTGTTTGTAGGCATTTAGGAACGACGGTAAAAGAAAGATTGCGGCGCCCACACTATCAATGACCTTTTAGAGGCAAAAGAAGGGTCCCAATTGTAAAATTTAACCATTAAATGGATTATTTGTTGAAAGAGCATTCAAAGTTGCCACGAAAACAATTAGAATGCTCGCGCAGTGTTACACGGAGGTATAAAAGAACGCACCCTTTATTACATTTTATGTTGTATGAGGGTTTTACCCAATTCCCGAACCGTGTTAGAGTTAACCCACGTGTTAGAGTTAGAGTTATACGGGGGATGTTCCCAATTCTCAAACCTTGTCAAAGTGAATCCGTGCTATAGAAGTGCCATGTTATACAGGAGTTACTTGTACTTGAAATATCATTTGGAGATCTTTGTTCCACCATTAAATTACTCCCTTGTCCCTTCGTTTTACAATCCACTTTGATCGTTTTCCACTTCCTCTTACTCAGCCACTTAGTAATGGTTTTTATGCTCATGAACCACACTTCACACACCCTATTTCCTTGTAGAACCACTTTTTTATCAACCCCTTTTCTTCCCTTTTCCTTGGGGGCTTAACAACCTTGCCAGACATTCCATCATGGCCAGGGGAAAACACATTAATTAGGCATAAGACACAATTATACTTTTCTGATGATGATCAATAACTGTAGTATTATTTTGTTCTAATTCTTCAATAATGAACCAAATCAAAACTAATATGAAAAAGTCATTTCCATTAGCTAAATGAAATGTAAATAGCTAATTAATATAAATTAGAATCAAATTCAAAGTTTAGAATCAAATTTTTTATTCATTTTTTTAATTAGGATTTTATGTTTAATTATAAAGTGCATATAATATTTAAGAAATAAAAAACGAAAAACTCCAGCAAAAATGAAAAATATTTAATGATAAACAAGCATTTTTGATAACTTCAGCTATTATCATCAGGTTAAATATGTTCAAAAAAGAGTGCTATAATTTAAAGAGTCGTCATCTGATGGATTATTGTTGTTACATCATTTGATGTTTTGTGTAGTATTCAAAACAGATGTATTCAAAAAGAAATCTCTCTGCTAGAGGGAGAATGTTGCTATCTTTGAAAAATATGGCCTTAAATTGAAAAAATTTGTTTATCATTAAATATTTTTTGTTTTTGCATGAGTGTTTAGTTTTTTCATTTCTTAAATATTATTATTATCCACTTTGTGTATTGTTTATATACTGTACAGTATATACACATAACAATAGATCATATCCTGATTATATACATATCTGCATTTGCATATAAGCTATTGGCCTGTATATTCTTTTATAATAAATCACCAGTATTATCATAATTATTTATATTATTACACTAGTACTATTGTAGGGACTGATTTTTATATACTTTTATTGGGATGATGGAGTCAGTATGGAAAACTATTTGCTACCTGTGTGTACTCTTAGTACTCAAGGGACAGGAGTCAAAAATGGAAAGAAATGTGACTCTGTTCTTCAGTTTTTAAATTTTCAACTTTGGTCTTTCATAAAAGTTCAATATGTATTAATAATGGTAAACCTACTATTGATAAAATAATAAATGGTATCATGTTTGATAGCAAAACAGGTGCAATCAAATTCATCACTCTATCATCCAGAGACAGGGCATATGTTGAAAATCAATTATCCTATGCAATTGTGAGGCAACTTGAGAGGCAGAACTGCATTTACTGTGCTTGTTTTACCAACTCCTTGGCACAGATGGCTTTGTTTACAGTGGTATCAAGACTCAGATACAGGTGATATTGGATTGGTAACACATTATTTTTAGTGACAAATCAGTTTTGTATGGGCAGGAATGATCTCTGTATTTGAGTATGGAGAAGGATTGGGAGTACCAAAATCTGAAATTTATTTTTGAGCTTCACACTGCCAACACTATCAGTGTCAAGATGTGGAAGTTATCTTTCTATCAGTCAGTATTCAGTAATAGTTATCAGGGGGGCATTGACTGCTAATTGAAAGGTTTGGGAGATCCCTGTAATATAAATTGTCTTTTGTGGCATGTCTACAATGGATCATTTTTTAACACGATATTGCCTACTCACACACACAGCTTGTATTATAATAAAAGCATTCACATAACCATTGCATATGTGAAGTTTCATTCAATTTTAATGATGCTCAAAACTTTTTGTTTGTTTGTGTGTGTTTGTGTTTGTGTGCATATGTGTATCATAAACATATGATAGTCTAAATCATACTTTAAACATAATCTAAATTAGTCTAATGTAACATTGGACCTGAAAAGTTTGTTTAGAGATTTCTGAACAAAAAGTTGTGTTTCAGTAAATATATATTCATATCATCTTATTAAATTTTTAATTATCAGATGATTAACACATTTAAATACTAAGAATTGATATAATTAGTTATATAAATTTTAATATTGTTATAGCACAGGAAAGAATTAGCAAATTAGGATTATCGTGGGGAGATCAAATGGATCATTTGGATATGGAATTGCGACCACCCGGCCGAGCACTCCAGATGCACGAGAAGCTTTCATCACCTTATAGAAAGAGGTTAGGAGTTTTTAAGCTATGATTACTGGTCAATTACAATGTACAGATATATAATTTTATTTTTGTGTGTATAATCTATTCGAGAGCTATTTAAAGTAGGGGACCATGGGATGGTCTTAGCTAGGCTGGGAACAAAAATGACATTTACATTAAATAAAAGTTACTTCTCACCTGGTACTGGTCCAATTTACTTAATATAAACACACATAAAAACCTTTACTTGACCAGTAAAAATATATTTAATGAAAACAACAAACGTTTTCGACTGCCTTCCTCAGTCTTCCTCAGGTTTTAAATTCTGATATTCGAAAATCGTTGTGCTTAAATATTTAAACATTTTGGAACATATACATCTTTGCGAATAAAATTCATTACGCGCATGCGTATTAATCATTACGTACGTGAACCCAAATATTCACAAATATTATTTTACATATACATGTAAACGATGTATAACACCTTACATAGAGTTGTGGGGGCATTCTGCTTCATACGCAAACCTCCAAGCTGCCGAAATATTAATAGCATCTTTATAGTTGATACAGCTATTACGTAATCCTGCTTTNTCTGTTATATCTTACCCTTTCCTTCTCAGATAAGAACATTTTCATTTTGAATTTTCATACTTGATAATTTTTGTCAATCAATTTTACCACAGAAAACTTTGTCAAAGCAAAATCAGTCATTTTCACTGCCTTCACACTAAACTGAACCCATAATCTGTTAGCTTCTTAAACAAAGAGTGCTGCTACACTTAATAAAACCTTTCATCAAATTATCAAAGAAAACAAAAATATTATAATTGACACATTCTAAGCAGACAATAGTTGAGAAGATAAAACATAAATTGGCAATCTCTCTTCAAATAAGTATTATATTAAATATAAACATTTGTCAAAATATCTCCAATATTTTTTGTTTATTACTTACTAAAATTTTAATAGCATTACAATAAATAAAATTTTAACAGTTCACGTTAAATACTTTTCTAAAGTCAGAGAAACCAGTACCATAAGGATAGCTATACTATTATGTAATCATATAAACACACAAATATTAATAAATACAGTAATACCTCGACTTACGTGAACCTGGAGTTACGCGATTTTCAAATCTCGTCGATTCGTCTTTTGTTTGAGCGCCAAGCAACTCTCGATTACTCAATCTCCCCATACTACTGTTTCGGCACAAAATAAATTGTGGCTATGTGTCACATGGAATCGACACATAGCCACAATTTATTTTGTGTTATTTATTTCTGTGTTTGTTATATCTACAGAGACTTGAGAGACTCTATGTGGTGATTTCTTCTAACCGTGAACGAATCAAAAGATGAGATAAGATTAACGAGAACATTTATTAGCTTACATACATCCGACTTGGGTTTTACACAAGTTGCAAAATTATACCCCAACTTACGCAAATTTGACTTACGTGGTTATCGCTCGGTCCCACCTATCACGTAAGTTTGGGGTATCACTGTAAATATAATGAAAAAGGAAACTATGACTTGAAAAACTATGGAAATATGGCTGCAATATCATACATTGTCCTTGGGAAACTATGGCTGCAAATATGGACACATGGCTGCAATATCATATATTGTCCTTGGGAAACTATGACTTGAAAAAGTTTTAAGAACCAGGGGTTCTTAAAACTTTTTCAAGTCATAGTTTCCCAAGGACAATATATGATATTGCAGCCATGTGTCCATATTTGCAGCCATAGTTTCCCAAGGACAATGTATGATATTGCAGCCATATTTCCATAGTTTTTCAAGTCATAGTTTCCTTTTTCATTATATTTACAGTGATACCCCAAACTTACGTGATAGGTGGGACCGAGCGATAACCACGTAAGTCAAATTTGCGTAAGTTGGGGTATAATTTTGCAACTTGTGTAAAACCCAAGTCGGATGTATGTAAGCTAATAAATGTTCTCATTAATCTTATCTCATCTTTTGATTCGTTCACGGTTAGAAGAAATCACCACATAGAGTCTCTCAAGTCTCTGTAGATATAACAAACACAGAAATAAATAACACAAAATAAATTGTGGCTATGTGTCGATTCCATGTGACACATAGCCACAATTTATTTTGTGCCGAAACAGTAGTATGGGGAGATTGAGTAATCGAGAGTTGCTTGGCGCTCAAACAAAAGACGAATCGACGAGATTTGAAAATCGCGTAACTCCAGGTTCACGTAAGTCGAGGTATTACTGTATTTATTAATATTTGTGTGTTTATATGATTACATAATAGTATAGCTATCCTTATGGTACTGGTTTCTCTGACTTTAGAAAAGTATTTAACGTGAACTGTTAAAATTTTATTTATTGTAATGCTATTAAAATTTTAGTAAGTAATAAACAAAAAATATTGGAGATATTTTGACAAATGTTTATATTTAATATAATACTTATTTGAAGAGAGATTGCCAATTTATGTTTTATCTTCTCAACTATTGTCTGCTTAGAATGTGTCAATTATAATATTTTTGTTTTCTTTGATAATTTGATGAAAGGTTTTATTAAGTGTAGCTGCACTCTTTGTTTAAGAAGCTAACAGATTATGGGTTCAGTTTAGTGTGAAGGCAGTGAAAATGACTGATTTTGCTTTGACAAAGTTTTCTGTGGTAAAATTGATTGACAAAAATTATCAAGTATGAAAATTCAAAATGAAAATGTTCTTATCTGAGAAGGAAAGGGTAAGATATAACAGAAGTGAATCTGAGCTTGAAACAGCTGAGTGAAAAAGCAAATGATGAGAAAGCACAAAGTGCTGTTTGTCTGAGCAGAGAAGACAACCAGATTATGCAAATAAGTAAGAATTTGTCAGCAAGGGATATGTAGGAAGAGCTAACTTCAGCAACACATTATATTTCTTGAGTAAGTTGTATCAATCAAAAGCTTTAAAAAATGAAGATATGCAAGAATATATTAGATGTACCCAGGAACCTAGTGGACTATTTGCAGTGCATTGGAGGTCACTCAGAAACTTACAAGTGGCAGCATTATTACTTAGCAGACTTCTAGTTAGTTACAAAATACTTGTCATAGGTCTTGATGTTTGTCTAGATAAACAAACTTGTCCTTCAATATTTTAAAGGTAAATTTGAATATAAATAATATAAGTGAAAGATTGAAGAAATCTAAATGATATGCATAAAAGTAAGATAGAGTAAGCATTGCCTATTCAGAATAAGATTGAGAGAACCATGAACATAAGAATACATTTCAGTGTTATAATTGCAAGAAACTTGAACAGGTTCAACACAATTCTCCATTTATGAAAGCTCTAAGGCTATTGGGCTAGCAAAATGATAATGAATAAAAGGCTAAAAGTATCATTCTTAAGGATAATTCTTCAGATTTAAAGATGGCTTTTTCAGCAGTTACTACTGTATTTGAAATTGTAATTATGGTGCATTGAGTCAGATGCTAATGAGTTAACAAATAATAAGTATTTCTTTGTTTGGATAAGTCAAAAACCTAGGGTAACTGCAATCAATGGAAAACATATGAACTCTGAAGAATCAGGAAATGATAAATTTATCATTGATTGCCAACTATCTCATAATGTTTCTAGGAAGGTGCTTGTGAAAGATACACTGTATGTGCTGGAATTGGAAAACAATCAGCTGTCAGTTAAAAGCTTGTCTAGAAAGGAAATAAACAATTAAAGATAAAGTTTATTTTTGAAACATATAAACACTTAATACAATCTTTATAATCTTTGAACCACATTATAATTTTAATTCAAAATTACACTACTACACTATTGAAATTGCATAACATTAACACCTACGAAAAACTTTCCATTGAATTTCTTCAAGTCGTCTTTAATGCCTGCTAAGATTTCTTCCTTTGTGCTTTTGTCCATGAAAATATTTCAATTGTTTCATTGAAGTCGACAAATTTTGTTAAATATGCTTCAATGCAAAGAAGTGTAAGGACATTCAGCTTATTTTGCTGCATAGTACTGTACATCTTAAGTGATCCTTGATTCTTTTCAGAGAAGAAAAAGACCTTTCAGCCGAGGAATCAGTCCCTGGCTTGCACACAAACATTCTTAATAAAATGTCAACATTTGGATAAACTGTTTGTAGCCTTTTTTCTCATAGCCACTTGCAAAGTGCTAATGGGTTTTTTTAGTTTCAATGTTGCAATCAATTATGTGAAATTTCAGATGGACAAGTTCATTGCATAGAGTGGATTCCAGGTCATCTTTGAAAATCAAAAGCAGGTTTGTTTCCTCTTCTTCAAATTCAGGAGAAGTCAGTCACCAGAATTTTGTAATAGCACCAAATCTTTTGCCAAACTCTTTTTAAGTAACTGGCCTTTACTCAAGTTCTGCTTTAAAGTTGTCAACTATCATTAGAAATGTATTGATTCGAAAGTTGTCACACCCACTTAAATGAACTTCACTGTCAAGTGTCTTATCAGATTGAAGTTTCCTGAGAATCAAACACTTTTCATCATGCTCATATACTTTCTATTCATACAATAAATCTGACTTACGGAACCTGTAACCGATGCATATCACTTTTTCTTTCAAAAATCAAACGTTTTCATAACCCCTTCTGGGTTCTTCATCAGGATAACAGCTGGATCGAATAGCAATTTCAAGAAGTTTGAATGAATCCGAACTTGAATCGTTCCATTCACTTAATCCGTCACGTGATATGATTGAAATTGTTCTATTTCGACGGTCGATGTTCAAATTTAAGAGAATGATCCAAAACATGTTATTGAGATATAAAGATTATTTAATATTCTCGTGTTCCCTAATATCATTTATTTTTACGGCTCAATATAATTTCGTTATCACTCTTTATGGAGTAGGTTTTGCCACGCCTGAATTAATACACTCGGATTTGTCATACGCCCTAAAAATTTCCATCTCTTCTAGCCATTTTAGTTGGTGAATATGTGGTGTGGAGGCAATTATCCGTGCTGCATTGAAGTCCACTACTATTTCGGGATCAGTGGCATAGGTG